TGCTTGCTGGAGGCTGGTGCTGACAAAGAGAAGGCAGACAATGAGGGCTCAACACCATTGCATATTGCGGCAGAGCAGGGTCATGAGGCAGTTGTGCAGTGCTTGCTAAATGCCGGTGCTGACAAAGAGATGGCCGACAATGAGGGCTCGACACCATTGCATATTGCCGCAGAGCAGGGTCATGAGGCAGTTCTGCAGTGCTTGCTGAATGCCGGTGCTGACAAACAGAAGGCTGACAAGCGTCGCTTTGTACCATGGCATCGTGCTTTACAGAAGGGCCATCTGGCAGTTGTGCAGCGCTTGCTGAACAAGCGCTTGACATCGTGAGGTTCCCACAGACTAACTACCTGCAAAACCAATCCAACAATTTTTGCGGGGATGACCCAAACATGCCAAAGGTGTTGTTCCTCAGCATTGCCCCAATCAAAAATAACATGCTTCGTTCTGGCCCATGTTTCCGGCGTAGTGGCCATGGGACGTGTTTCTAACTGTTCAGCTAGATCCTCTCTTTTGAGGGCTAAACAGGCACATCGAGGGGGCAGGCGTGCTCGTGACGCTCTGCGGCAGGGATTGCGACCATGTTTATGGCACCCACGCCTATAGCCCTTCCCTTGAGTGCCAACATTCTCGTCGCGAGGCGCCGGTTGGGGTGGGGGATGATTCTTAGTGTCTGGCCGAGACGGCTCGGCAAATCAGCCACGCACCAGTATTCAGCCACACTAGAAAAGCCCAGTGCAGTGTGCGCATGGCCCTCGCCGAAGTTGGTGGATGGGCTACTCTCGGAGTGTCAAATGTCTCACTTCCTGAGTGGATTGGTCGGAAAAAGCATTCATGCTTGCCAGTAACATGGTCTACCCAACAGTTTAACCATGCGTTACATACATTACACACACACATTGCACACACATTGCACACACACATTACAGACATCACATGCATCATATCGCATCGCACCGCATTGCGTCGCATCACATATATACACACATGTCAGTCATATCTATATTGATTGAGTTCATGCATGCACAGTCTCTGAGGGAAAGGCGAAGGGCTTGCTGCTTCCTTTGCAGGCCCCTCGTTGCGTGAAGGCTGAAGAGAGGGCTGAAGAGCAGCTTTTGCTTTGGCCAGATGGGTCAACCTTCGATAGAATCAAGCTACCTTCAGCTGTGCCAAAGCCAAAACAAGGAGTTTCAGGACAGTTGGCACAAAGTGGTGTGCGTCGACGAACCATTTTTTGCAGATTCACTGAAGGCTTCAAAAAGAGCGTATGTACACGCAAGGGAGGCAACATGATGAATGACAATCGCAGCAAGCCAATGTGCTCTTGCAGGACGGCAGGTTTGGCACAACTAATTATGCATGCGGAGGTTTGCCAGTTTGTCATGGGGGATTTACCTGAGCAGCGCCTTGTCATCGGCCGACACCCAACAGACTCAACAGACTCATGCCTGAATGAGACTTTACCTGCCTGTCCCCACACGAACACACACCCACACACGCCGCGCGGACCCACGCGCACACGCACGCAGGCGCATGCAAGGGTTCACCAGAGTTCGTTCTCGTGAGCCTGGGTGGTTTCATGCTGTCAGTGGAGTAGTTGTTCATCAGCTCTTCTTTTGCCGACCTAGCGATCATTGAGGGTAGCGCATCACTCACGGAGTCCCTCGGCGCTTTTTTTTTTTTTTTGAACTTGGGAAGGTTGTTTCGGCAGACGTAGCCAGTTAGGATTTGTTGGGCCAAACGTGATTCTGGAACTGACGGTCAAGCCCTTCCGATGCTTGAATTGAGCGAGGTGGTGTTGGTGCTCAGGGCAATCCAAGAGCAACCCGGTCTCCCTTTGGGGGGGTTCACTCAGTTTGGCGAATCCAAGTGAGTCAAAATCAGAACTCGGTACTAAAATCCATGTAAGGAATTAAGAAGGCGGATATCCGCAGCTATTTATAGTTGGGATTGTCCCTTGCCAACCTTCATCTACCCGGTTTTGGATTGTGACTCAAGTGAGCGGGTTGGTTGAGCAGTCCGAGGCGAATATCTGGTCTACGAGGGCGGCTCCTCTGCCAGCCTCCTCAATGAAGCACGCCGCTCGCACGAGTCAAGCACCGCTTTGGCTCATCCAGGTTTTTTTTCTGGATTTTTGGGACCATTTTGGGGGGGGGGGGGAACCATTTTTTGGGGGGGACCAAATTCTTGGGGGGCCATTTTGTTAGGGACCAAATTGTTTGTGCATATTTTTGCTGGATTTTGGATTTTGGGTTTTACTGGATTTACCACATTTTGTTTTTACACATGTTTTTACATCCCAACAAAACAGCATGTTTGCTTCCATTGAGTTTGAGATGAGGGTTTGCCTGAGCGGACAAAATAATCAAGCCAGCAGTTCAACCACTCAGGACTAAGCTAAACCTTTGTGGAATTGTATGGGTGCGCACGCAGGCGCTTCTGGATTTTATTATTATTTGTTTCTTGTAGCAAGGGTGTTCAGTTTCATTCATGGCACGCATTTCCAGTGGGCTCGCACCATTGTCTTGAAGGCTGAGGGTTGCAGAGGGGTTGGTCTCAGATTGTGCACGCAGCTTTGACAAGATCCTCAACAAAAGCTTTGTGGCCGGTTCGTGTTCTTCCTTCGACGGCTTCTTTATTCATCAAAGGTATGGTGTGGGTACATCGCGAACACTGCAGGATGAAACAGTGGTCGCCAAACCCATCGTAGGTCTTGACTGCTATTGGGTTGGATCTTTAGACTTCAACTTTTTTGGGAAATCAAGGGGCCCCCTGAAAAGTGACCGGTGGACATAAATCACTGCAAAACCCTATTGAATGTCATACCCACATCCACCAACAAGGGGTTTGTGTAAGTTGGTTGTAAGTTTCATTCGTTTGTACCATTGCGATTGTTGCTCACGGATGGATCAATGTGTTTTCCCACGCAACTGCACCGGCAAGCGCCTTCACCTCAGCAACGGACAGAATTCGCCGCCATCTATCGCAGTAAAGTGGATGACATGGGGCTCCCTCACTGAAATACCAGTGGGAACTGGGAGCTCATCAAGCCAATGTCAGTTCAGGGGGACAACTACGACAATGTTGTTTTCTTTTCTTTTTTTTCCGGGGGGGGGGGGGGGGAATGGGGGCAACTCTCTTTGGTCGTTTTCAAGGGATAAATCTTATCCACAGGAAAACAAATAAACGCACGTGGAACCGGATACACCCACATGAAAAATGTCCACCTTCCTTTTTCTTGGGTGAAATCAACCACACCCACATGAAAACCAGCCTATGTTTGTTGGGGTGAGGGCTGGGGGCTGGGGGGTGGGTTTTTTCCCCCCAAAAAAAGACGAACGAAGCGACGGCCAGATCGACTGCTCCAAGGCCAGCTACGCGCGGAGCTCCCGGTGGAGGGCGGAGCCCAGCAGCCGGCTGGGGACTTCACGGTGGAGCTGGAGGTGCCATGGGTTGGGGGCGGTGGATGGGGAGGGTGGGGGGGGGGCTCCTCCAACTTGTGTGTTTGATTTATTTTGGTTTGCCGGACCCTGAAACCACCCATAAACATGGGATACCACCCCAGAACATTTGGAGGCAACACCCCCTTTTTACGGGATTTTTGAGGGTTCAGGTAGCCATACATTTTGAGGAGAATCGGAACATATGTTTGGGGTGCAGACTAGCCCTGGTTGGTTTTTGGGATTATGGTGTTTCTTGTTAAATGGGAGGCTGCACCCTATCCTCCAAACCGATCCAAATAACAGCGAAAGCTGCGCAGCAGGGACGATCGGGTTCGCCTTCTGAGTACTTCAAGGACATCCAATATATTTTTAAAGCCTCCGGCTCAGGCCGCCGACATTACAGGCCTGCTTTCTTATTTGCGTCCCTTTGGAATTGTCCCCTTGCCCTCTTCCCCTCTGAGATTTTTGCCCCCCTTTCTTTGTTGAGATCCATTCCCCCTTTCCGCCCTAAGGCCTTTTCTCCCTCGGATGTTTTCCCTTTTCCTCCCTAAGATGTTTTCCCCCCTCTCCCTGTTGAGATCTTTTCCCCCCTTTCCCCCCTAAGGCCTTTTCCCCCCTGAGATCTTCTCCCTTTTCCTCCCTTTCCCCCACTTTCCCCCCTACGGCCTTTTCCTCCCTGGGATCTTTTGCCTTTCCTCCCTGAGATGTTTCCCCCCCTTTCCCTGTTGAGATCCTTTCCCCCCTTTCCCCCCTACGGCCTTTCCCCCCGCTGAGTTCTTCTCCATATTCCTCCTTAAGATCCTTTGCCCCCTTTCCCTGTTGAGATCCTTTCCCCCCTTCCCTTTAAGGCCTTTCCAGATCTTCTCCCTTTTCCTTCCTAAGATTGTTTCCCCCCTTTCCCCGTTGAGATCCTTCCCACCCTTTCCCCCCTCAGGCCTTTCCCCCCCCCTGAGAGCTTCTCCCTTTTCCTTCCTTAGATCTCCCCCCTTTCCCTGTTGGCCTTTTTTCCCCAGATCTTCTCCCTTTCCTCCCTAAGATCTTTTCCACCCCTTTCCCTGTTGAGATCATTTCTCCCCTTTCCCCCCTACGGCCTTTGCCCCCAGATCTTCTCCCTTTCCTCCCTAAGATCTTTCCCCCCCTTTCCCTGCTCAGGCTCAGATCCTTTCCCCCTTTCCCCCCTAAGGCCTTTCCCCCGCTGAGATCTTCTCCCTTTTCCTCCCTAAGATCTTTTGCCACCTTTCCCTGTTGAGATCCATTCCCCCTTTCCCCCCTAAGGCCCTTTCTCCCTCTGAGTTTTTCCCTTTTCCTCCCTACGATGTTTTCCCCCCTCTCCCTGTTGAGATCCTTTCCCTCCTTTCCCCCCTAAGGTTTTTTTTCCCCCCGCGATCTTCCCCCTTTTCCTTCCTAAGATCTTTTCCCTCCTTTCCTTGTTGAGATCCTTTCCCGCCCTTTCCCCCCTAAGGCGTTTTCCCCCCCAAGATCTTCTCCCCTTTCCTCCCTAAGATCCTTTGCCCCCTTTCCCTGTTGACTTCCTTTCCCCTCTTTCCCCCTTAAGGCCTTTCCCCCCCTGAGATCTTCTCCCTTGTCCTCCCCAAGATCGTTTCCCTTGGTTGAGATCCTTTCCCCTTTTCCCCCCAAGATCTTCTCCCTTTCCCTCCCTAGGATCCTCTCCCACCTTTCCCTGTTGAGCTCCTTTCCCCCTTTTCCCCCTAAGGCCTTTTCAGATCTTTTCCCTTTTCCTCCCGAAGATCCTTTGCCCCCTTTCCCTGTTGAGATCCTTTCCCCCTTTCCCCCCTAAGGCCTTTTCCCTGCCTGGGATCTTCTCCCTTTCCTCACTGAGATCTTTCCCCCCCTTTCCCTGTTGAGATCCTTTCCCTCCTTTCCTTCCTAAGGCCTTTCCCCCCGCTGAGATCTTCTCCCTATTCCTCCTTAAGATCCTTTGCCTCCTTTCCCCGTTGAGATCCTTTCCCCCCTTCCCTTTAAGGCCTTTCCAGATCTTTTCCCTTTTCCTTCCTAAGATTGTTTCCCCCCTTTCCCTGTTGAGATCCTTCCCACCCTTTCCCGCCTAAGGCCTTTCCCCCCTGAGAGCTTCTCCCTTTTCCTTCCTTAGATCTTTCCCCCCTTTCCCTGTTGGCCTTTTTTCCCCCAGATCTTCTCCCTTTCCTCCCGAAGATCTTTTTTACCCCTTCCCTGTTGAGATCATTTCTCCCCTTTCCCCTCTAAGGCCTTTGTCCCCGGATCTTCTCCCTTTCCTCCCTAAGATCTTCCCCCCCCCCCTTTCCCTGCTGAGATCCTTTTCCCCCTTTCCCCCCTAAGGCCTTCCCCCCCCCTGAGAGCTTCTCCCTTTTCCTTCCGAAGATCTTTTCCCCCCTTTCCTGTTAGGCTTTCCCCCCTAAGTCCTTTTCTCCCAGATCGTCTCCCTTTCCTCCCTAAGATCTTCCCCCCTGTTGAGATCCTTTCCCCCCTTTCCCTCCCAAGGCCTTTCCCCCCCCTGAGAGCTTCTCCCTTTTCCTTCCTAAGATCTTTTCCCCCCTTTCCCTGTTGGGCTTTCCCCCCTAAGTCCTTTTCTCCCAGATCTTCTCCCTTTCCTCCCTAAGATCTTCCCCCCCCCTTTCCTTCCTAAGATTGTTTCCCCCCTTTCCCTGTTGAGATCCTTCCCACCCTTTCCCCCTGAGGCCTTTCCCCCCCTGAGAGCTTCTCCTTCCTTAGATCTTTCCCCCCTGTCCCTGTTGGCCTTTTTTCCCCCAGATCTTCTCCCTTTCCTCCCTAAGATCTTTTCCACCCCTTTCCCTGTTGAGATCATTTCTCCCCTTTCCCCCCTAAGGCCTTTGCCCCCAGATCTTCTCCCTTTCCTCCCTAAGATCTTTCCCCCCCTTTCCCTGCTCAGATCCTTTCCCCCCTTTCCCCCCTAAGGCCTTTCCCCCCCTGAGATCTTCTCCCTTTTCCTCCCTAAGATCTTTTGCCATTTTTCCCTGTTGAGATCCATTCCCCCTTTCCCCCCTAAGGCCCTTTCTCCCTCTGAGTTTTTCCCTTTTCCTCCCTACGATGTTTTCCCCCCTCTCCCTGTTGAGATCCTTTCCCTCCTTTCCCCCCTAAGGCCTTTTTTCCCCCCGCGATCTTCCCCCTTTTCCTTCCTAAGATCTTTTCCCCCCTTTCCTTGTTGAGATCCTTTCCCGCCCCCCCAAGATCTTCTCCCTTTTCCTCCCTAAGATCCTTTGCCCCCTTTCCCTGTTGAGATCCTTTCCCCCTAAGGCCTTTCCCCCCCTGAGATCTTCTCCCTTGTCCTCCCCAAGATCGTTTTCCCTTGGTTGAGATCCTTTCCCCCTTTCCCCCCAAGATCTTCTCCCTTTTCCTCCCTAGGATCCTCTCCCACCTTTCCCTGTTGAGCTCCTTTCCCCCTTTTCCCCCTAAGGCCTTTTCAGATCTTCTCCCTTTTCCTCCCGAAGATCCTTTGCCCCCTTTCCCTGTTGAGATCCTTTCCCCCTTTCCCCCCTAAGGCCTTTTCCCTGCCTGGGATCTTCTCCCTTTCCTCACTGAGATCTTTCCCCCCCTTTCCCTGTTGAGATCCTTTCCCTCCTTTCCTTCCTAAGGCCTTTCCCCCCGCTGAGATCTTCTCCCTATTCCTCCTTAAGATCCTTTGCCTCCTTTCCCCGTTGAGATCCTTTCCCTTCTTCCCTTTAAGGCCTTTCCAGATCTTTTCCCTTTTCCTTCCTAAGATTGTTTCCCCCCTTTCCCTGTTGAGATCCTTCCCACCCTTTCCCGCCTAAGGCCTTTCCCCCCTGAGAGCTTCTCCCTTTTCCTTCCTTAGATCTTTCCCCCCTTTCCCTGTTGGCCTTTTTTCCCCCAGATCTTCTCCCTTTCCTCCCTAAGATCTTTTCCACCCCTTCCCTGTTGAGATCATTTCTCCCCTTTCCCCTCTAAGGCCTTTGTCCCCGGATCTTCTCCCTTTCCTCCCTAAGATCTTTCCCCCCCCCCCTTTCCCTGCTGAGATCCTTTTCCCCCTTTCCCCCCTAAGGCCTTTCCCCCCCCTGAGAGCTTCTCCCTTTTCCTTCCGAAGATCTTTTCCCCCCTTTCCCTGTTAGGCTTTCCCCCCTAAGTCCTTTTCTCCCAGATCGTCTCCCTTTCCTCCCTAAGATCTTCCCCCCCCTGATCTGTTGAGATCCTTTCCCCCCTTTCCCTCCCAAGGCCTTTCCCCCCCCTGAGAGCTTCTCCCTTTTCCTTCCTAAGATCTTTTCCCCCCTTTCCCTGTTGGGCTTTCCCCCCTAAGTCCTTTTCTCCCAGATCTTCTCCCTTTCCTCCCTAAGATCTTCCCCCCCTTTCCTTCCTAAGATTGTTTCCCCCTTTCCCTGTTGAGATCCTTCCCACCCTTTCCCCCTGAGGCCTTTCCCCCCTGAGAGCTTCTCCTTCCTTAGATCTTTCCCCCCTGTCCCTGTTGGCCTTTTTTCCCCCAGATCTTCTCCCTTTTCCTCCCTAAGATCTTTTGCCATTTTTCCCTGTTGAGATCCTTTCCCCCTTTCCCCCCTAAGGCCCTTTCTCCCTCTGAGTTTTTCCCTTTTCCTCCCTACGATGTTTTCCCCCCTCTCCCTGTTGAGATCCTTTCCCTCCTTTTTCCCTAAGGCCTTTTTTCCCCCCGCGATCTTCCCCCTTTTCCTTCCTAAGATCTTTTCCCCCCTTTCCTTGTTGAGATCCTTTCCCGCCCTTTCCCCCCTAAGGCGTTTTCCCCCCCAAGATCTTCTCCCTTTTCCTCCCTAAGATCCTTTGCCCCCTTTCCCTGTTGAGATCCTTTCCCCCCTAAGGCCTTTCCCCCCCTGAGATCTTCTCCCTTGTCCTCCCCAAGATCTTTTCCCTTGGTTGAGATCCTTTCCCCCTTTCCCCCCGAGATCTTCTCCCTTTTCCTCCCTAGGATCTTCTCCCACCTTTCCCTGTTGAGCTCCTTTCCCCCTTTTCCCCCTAAGGCCTTTCCAGATCTTCTCCGTTTTCCTCCCTAAGATCCTTTGCCC